CTTGCTACCCAGCTGCTGATCTGAATTCAATCCCTGGGATCCATGTGGTGGAGAGAGAGAACCCAATAGCACAAGCTGTCTGCAAACATGCACACACACACACACACACATGCGCACATGCGCACTCATGTGCATGCACGCTTGCGTGCCTGCGTGCGTGCACATGCACACCTGTACACACACAAGCTCGCACATGAGCAAACCTGCATGCTGAACAAATACAATGTAGTAACTGAAAGAGAGAGATACATGTGCAGCCTTGTTTATTGATGCATCGTTCACAACAGTTAAGAAGAGGGACTAGTCTAAATGTGCATCAGCACATGAATGGATAAGGAAAATGTAGTATACATACAATGGGATTTTATTCATTTGCAAAGATAAATGAAATCATGATTTGGCAGGAAAATGGATGTTAAACAAAGCAAGCCAGTTCCAGAGAGACAGATACTGCATGCTTACTCTATATGTGGAACCTAGATATGCAATTATGTATGTTTGCATTATCTATATGTGCATTCTAATATTCATAATGTTAAATATGTGTATATGTGCATGTTCTCACTCTATCTATCTATCTATCTATCTATCTATCTTTATTTGTGTATATAACAAAAGTAGAAGGGGTATTCTGAAGAGAAGGAAGATACCTTAAGGGATGGGGCACAGGGTAATGGAATTCATGCGATGTGAGAATAGACAGGAAACAGAATGTGGGAAGAGTACCAGCCAGAGGAGTTCAGGGAGCATTGGGGAGAGCATGGGAGAGAGGAATAGATTGAAACAAAGTATTATAACTTATATGTATGAAGATGCCCTAGTAAAGTCTGTTAGTTTGTATGCTAACTTAAGGATAACTAATAAATCTTACATGCTATTATGTTATAGTTAAATATAATTATCTCAAAAGACTGTCACCCCCAAATCTATCTTCATGAAAAGTTAGAAATGCAAATATTAGAAGAATCTCAAATATGTGCTAACATCAAGCTGAGAAGGGTGGAAAAATGGGAAAAAAGAATTTCCATTGGCAATATCACCTTGTCCACATTGTCCTGTGCTGGCTCTTCAGTTTCCCCTGCTGCTGTCCAACCCTCTCGGCTCACTCCTGCCTCAGTACCGTTGTAAGCGTGTCTCCCTTCCGCGGCACAGGCATTTTTCTCTGGATTCTCGCAATAATCCATCGCTGACTGGTCTCTGCTCCCATGTCTACCCAATTCTCTTTCTTCTTTGTCTTGATCTTCTTTCACTTTGAGTGACTGGATTCTCTTTGAAACTCAAACAGCTATGCAGTGTAACTTAGCGTTCTGGTTTCTGAGGCAATCTGATTTGGAATAAGTAGTAGGATCATTTCTCTTTTTTTCTCAAAAAAAAAAGACTATAAAAAATACAGAAGGGCACCCAGAATGTCTTAACTATTTGACCTTCAGAGAGCAATCACAGCGATTTTTATTTCCTTTGCTATCCTTTTCTGTATTGACTGATTTTATTTCAAAGACTATAAATTAGAGAAAACAGTGGTGTTAGTCCCCTTGAAGAAAAAAAAGCACTATTTAGCGTAAATCCTCACCATGTGACACCAGAGAGCCAGCAAGAACAAGGACACAGGCTTACTGTCTGTCTAAGGGAGTAAACTCAGCAAGAGAAAACCTGCTATAGACAAAACAGACAGTTTAGATCCTCAGTTCCAGGCAGCTATTTTAGTAATGATTTTCTCTGGTCACTCAAGGAGGCACTGGGTTAGTCAGAATAATGTCAGAAATACACATCAGAGTTTCTGTTCTGCCATGGGGTGGGGATGAGGGTGTGGGGGGCTCAGATGTCTTCCTTCCCCGTGAAAGAGAAGAGTGTTCTATAATGTTACTAAGCTTGCCAAGTCTGTAGCACTGAACACTTCTCTGTCCTCATCCTGAATTTTGCTTGAATCATTAGCACACAGGCTGATAATCCAACAAAATGAATAATTTTCCTATCCAATGAATAGGTCCATCTTCTCAAAGATGGTATTTTACCCTTAGCAAATTGAACAACAATTTTAATGCAGGAAAACATTAGTGAAACAAACTTATCATCTTTGTTTATGTATTTTGGAATAAGGTTCATTGATACCCAGAGAAATAATATCTTTCCTGGCAATTCCTCCTTTTCCTGGAACAGAAAGCTTAATCTCCCATCTGAAAATGATTCTATCTGGGCAGCAAATCTCACACTGAACATTGCTCCAGATCTTGACTTATATAAACCCAGCAGATGGCATTTGCCCGGCATTGGCATGTCAGGCTGCGATCTGTGGGCATGCCGAGCAAGCAGCCCTGAGCCTTGCAGATGGACTGGCAGATCACATGTGTGGGTGGGTCAGGTGAAGAACTGTCCTCTGAGTCAGCTTCCTATGGTCTTCGCCAAGGAGCAAATTCCTCAAGATCTTGAGAGAGTGACAAACGGTCCCGGTGAAGCTAGTGTGAACTGGACTGATCATCAAAATCAATAAATCTCTCCAGCGGGAGCAAACCAAGATTCTGGGGACCGCTACAGGAGAAGAACAGCTTAGGTGACGGCAATGGTTGGAACACCTTAGGCGGGTGGACCTTGACTTGGATGTGTTCTGATTACTCATTGGGCCAGAGCATTAAAAAGTAAGAAGGGGAAAAACAAAACAAGCAAAAACAAACAAACAAAAAAAACCAACCCAAACCAAGCAAACAAACAAACAAACAAAAACCTGTCTTCTTAGCTTGCAGTTTACTTCGGAAGAAAGATAATCTGTCACTCCATCAGTAAGCACATGAACACACACATGCACACATACACACACAGGCAGACACACATGCACACATGCACACACAGGCAGACAC